GTTCTTTGAATAAGTGTAAAATAGAATTTGTTTTTGTTTAATACAGGCACATATTTAAGCCACAGAAAACAAATGAAATTTTTTCCCACACATAAACTTTAGGACTAATACTATCTCCAATTATTGTTCATATGTGTGCAAATATATTGGTTAGAATTAAAATGTTATCATTTGATATGCCTTTATACAGTTCTTTATGTTTTGAATAATGGAAGTGTTAGGTCTTACAATCATGCATTTCTGTTTTGTGAAAATTTTATACTTTTGTTACAACATGTGAAAAATTAAAACATGAAAAGAAAAATTTATGCTAAAAACATTTGTTCCCACTTTATGACAGGTTTATAAACTAGTTTATATCTAATGGTGGAAGATTGTGTTAGTAAAAGCTATTCTAAATAAGAAAAGGCAAAGTACAGCATCATCCCTTTATACTGGATTACAAAGTTATTAGTTCAATAGCACAACACTGTCAAAAATCCACAGACAACAAACATCTTATTAAAATTCACAGAAAGAGCATTACTAACACTCAAATGTAAACTAAAACGAAAATTAGAGACCAGGTCTTTTTTATAACCATATTCCTCTGTTACATACACGTAACTTCTTTTCCAATTTCATGCTCATATATGTTTAAGGGAATAAATCCTAACACATTTTCATTTGGTTTCAGTTTCTGATATACATATATGTACAATTTTGTTCTCCACAAATATTACTACATTTCCACTATTATTTAACAGGATCCTTCGCAAATGGTCTATTAAATTTGATGAGTATTTCACAATGCTCATAACAATAGATCAAAATGTTGGCAGATGGGAACATCCATGAACATGTGTGTACACACACACACACACACACACATACGCACATATATATATAAGTATATATTAAAAGGCACGTACAATATTTTGACATTTCTTTTCAAATATATCCCAGTTTATCAAACCCTTAATACATATTCCATGAAAATTTTGAACAAAAAATTGTATTTTGCAACGAAACAAAATATTATTGGTTATAAAGTTTTAATAATAAACTTTGATTAGTGTTACCTAACAAACAAAAGAAGGAAAGAAACTGCTACACTTCAGTCAATCTGATATAACTTGCATACCTAACTTTTTTTATAGAACGACGTGTAGAGCGAGTTTTATCTTCATCAGTATCATATTCATCTTCATCTTCTGAAGAGCTAGAATGTTTTCTTTGTCTCCGTGAAGGGGCGGGCCTCTTTTTTTGTGAACGACCTGATGTTCGGTTACTTCGTCCAAATGTAGAAACTCCTGCACTGGGTTTCTGTCGACTCTTTGCACATTCTTGTTCACTCTCATCTTTGTCACTGGAATCAGATGCTTGCCATTCTCCAGAGCTGAAATTCCACAAATCAAAAATGTTAACAAACACAAAAGAATTATATCATTATCAGCACAAATTAAAAATTATTATTATTCAAATACACAGTCATGAGCAAGACAATTTGTATATTTGAAAAATGTATTAACTTTCTTAATTTAAAGATTTTCAAATACTTAATTGAAACACTTTTTTTGCACAAAAAAATCCTTAATCTTATGAAAAACAATCACATTATTGGCCACCAAATAAAACAAATTGGACCTAGTTTGCACTTTAGGTTACTTTGTAACTCTTAAATTACATACTTGTTTAGATAGCATTCACAATCAGAAAGAGGCCTATAGACTATGTAGTACTGATTAATCAAATGTTTTACCTGTCTCAACATTCAATGTAAAGAAATGACTCAAAAATTGGGTGAAATAGCTAATTTTCTATTACAAATACATAGGAAATTCTATCAGTAATTAGCGAGATTAATTACAATGTTGACAGTATTTTTATTTACTTTCTTGGAGTGACTCTTATCATTAGAGATCCTAAAAAAGTCATGGACCTACATGCAATTCTGTGCACAAATAGTTTAGAAAATTGTGTTTAAACTTTTTACAGTTAAAATTTTGTTGTTAGTTTTTACTCACTAAATCAGACACCAAACTTGCAGGAAGAATTTACTAGCCCTACTTTTCTTGAACGAGAATATAAAAAAATAAACAAACCTATAACTACTATTTAAAACCAGCCTTACTCTCTCTGTCTTCTTGATGGCTTCTGATGTCCCTTTGAATCATTTTCTTCTGAGTCCTGAAAGTAAACGTCTGTTTCATCACAACTATAATTTTAATGTCACTTCTATTTATTTGTTCAAAAAAACTATCAGAAACAGGCAAAGGAATGTAGGCTTAGGAATCTCAGTAACTACATAAAAATGAAGGTAGACTTACTGGCAGACTTTTCTTACAATCAAGACTAGTAACATTAAATTTAATGACATAGGTAAGCAATTTTTTTTAAACCTGGCAACATTAGTGGACTATGTTAAATAAAAAGAACCAATGTGTTCATCATTTCATAATTCCTTACCAGTCTATCTCACTATTAAAATTTGAAATATGAAGTTACTGTTCTTTGAATAAGTGTAAAAATAGAATTTGTTTTTGTTTAATACAGGCACATATTTAAGCCACAGAAAACAAATGAAATTTTTTCCCACACATAAACTCACATTTTCACTTTTTGAAAATAAATGTGAATCCTACAATCTAGGATTCCTGAAATGCTAGTACATAGCTTAGTTATTCTGGAAAGTATAGCAGAGGTTTGAGCAAAACTTCAGCTGTGGCCACTTTTACCAGGGTCTTTTTTTTTCTTAATAAACATTTGACTTTCATAAACTCACTTATACTCTATGTGTACAAAACAAAGTTCCATGTTTTTTTGGAAAAGACCCATCACACTCTGTTGTGCTAGATATGACCTTGCTTTTACTCTTAAGCTTCTTAAAATGAATCACAGGTGAAAGGCCATGTCATCTCATTTGTTAACTTACATTACACAATTTATTGAACTAATATTTCATGAATTTATGTCAATAACTTTGGTATCAAACTATAGATTATAATTCAAATTTTAGTACTATATATTACTCAATTTCTTAATTTAAATGCAAATATTAAAAAAACACAGATAAACTTCGATTTTTTTGTGTCACGTAGTATGTTGAATGCAGCACTAGTTCAAATTAGATGTTTGTGAAGTCAAAATACTAAGTCTAGTTCCATAAGAATTAGTAACTCAAATTACTGATATTGAAAAGCTAGCATATAAAATAAGAGCCTTTTATCTTTTCAATTTGCTAAAATATTGCTCATGTAATAAATCAAACACAGTGGCTCCCTGCCCACCTCTTTCCAATTTTGAAAATGCTCCCTTATATACACTTACTTCTACATATGACATGAATAACCAATCAAAAGCTCAGAATGTCCCCCCAGTGGCTCTCTCAGCCATTTTAATGGTCTTGGCACCATTTCTTTCTTTCTTTTGAACCAATATTTCAAACGAGGTAGGGTGTCTTTAGTCTGCTCAAAATTTCATATTATTTTAGACTAAAATACATCTTAGTTAGTAAGCTTGATAAACTATAGTGGAATTCTATGGTATTAATGTACCAATTTATAATTTTTTAGTTATTCAAATGTATATATAATACTTAAAAAAATATTTTGATTCATATCCTCCATGTGCAAATTTTTTAAAGGCTTAACAACATATATCAACCAGCAACCAAGTACAAAGGTCATAACTAGAAGAGATAATTGTTTACTTCTTTAGTTACTGTTCTATATTTTAAGAAAAATAAGTTTATGAACTTATTTCAAAATAGCAATAATTTATATACATATATAATGTATAATAATTGAAATGAGACTGTATTTTACAAAATACTAGTCTACCAAGACACAGCCAAGACAAGTTACTTTGCACAGACCAAAGGTCAGTTTTATACTATTTGATATGGTAACATGAGTGCACTTGAGTCTCGTCATTGTAACATCTGTATTGTTAACCAGGCACAACTGAAAGGTCAATATAATAAAAACAATAAGTATATATAAATATACAATGTTATGAGATTTAAGCTATTTAGTCTAAACATTTATTTTTTTGTGTTATAATCTGTAGTCATTCTAGAATGACAGAGACATAATTGATATTTATTTCCTAATTTTTTTTATGGTGATTACAAGGTCGGTCAAATTGACCATACCCATACAGAGATTAATTACTGAAAATAAGAGATAAAATATAGTTTTTTTTCTTAAGAAACATTTGATAACTATCTGGACATTATAAAGATTTCTCATGTGAAATGTGAAAATTATCTGATTCATAAAAGTATTTTTAATCTTAAAATGAATATTACTTTGCATGATAGATAGGCAACATGTGAAAAACATTGCTTTAAAAACCTTAAGAGTTAATAAATAAAATTTGATATTTTATGTATGACAGCATTGTGATGTTTACTGATAATCTGCCAAATTGTGCTTACTAATCTAAAAGTTATAGCATGAAATTTCAATATTACTTTGCATGATAGATAGGCAACATGTGAAAAACATTGCTTTATAAACCTTGAGACTTAATAAGAAAATTTGATATTTTGCGTATGAAAGCATTGCAATGTTTACTGATAAACTACCAAATTTCATTAATATTCGCTATCTAATTTAATAACATATTGCATGAAAACTAAAACACGCACAAAATGGTTATGAGGTCAGTCCCAGGGACCAAGCCCGTGCTGAGAGAGTTAAATGAAATTTTTTTATAAATAATATGAATTAATTTTTTTAAATTAATATAAGTGTATTTATAGTTTTGATAGCACAATACAGACTTGTATTTGACGACAGCCACAATAATTTCACATTGAAGATTAATGCATTTTAATACTTGGATACTGGTTTATTTTTTACAATATTATAAAATTAAGATAGTTTAACTAGTGTATATAATTGTACTTGAACCATAATTCTAACTAATGTCACATTCGGTTTCTTTTTATACCTAATAACATAATAGAGATTTTGTAAGGACATTCAATTCAAAATCCCGTGAAAAGCTGTTTCATTATATTATGAAAAATTGTTATGCTAATTTACCATTTGAAATACACAATCTCACAAGATTTTTTAGCAACATTTTATTTTGATTGTACAAAAGTGAACAAATTATATTTACTATTGTTTTCTTACATTGCACTGTAACTATACATTCAAATTTTAAAAACATAATTTATCACTTAATGTAAAAGCAATTATTATCTTATGCTCAAATTTTCTTAACTCTTGGCCTAAGTTCTGAAACTTTCAAGGCCTTGACATGGGTTTGCCAAAAGTCAACACCTGTCAGTAATTTACATACTATAAGCCCCTCATGTCAGAAAGCAAATATGTATGTAACTATAAACTAGCTGAAACTTTTGTTTTATCATCACACATATTGGCATGCACATATTTAATTACCCCTTTAGGCTTAATTCATGGTCAGATTTGGCATGATTTAACATTGCTATATGAAAGAAATAATTATGTTTTCCCTATGAAAATTTGAAAATCAGCAGTAGTACCATACCTCGCCAATATTGTATCGCTCTGGTTCTTTTCTTGAGCGGCCAGATCTGCGAACACCATACATATCAGGATTTTCTTCCCACATCTACATAAAGATTAATTAGTTGAACTTAGAAGTCAAAGTTACAAAGAAGTGTACACAAATAATTTGCTTGCTGAAATGTTGAACTATTAAGGCAAATCACAGTTTCATTCTACTTGAACTCATTAAATCAAATTTAAAATTAAACTGTTCATATTTTTTTAAATACATGTGTTAAGTTATAAAAAAGGACAGGCCGATTGTAAGAAAACAAAGATCGAATTTAAAAAAATTAAGTAGCTTACTGAAATAAATTACTTAATTCATAAAAGTACTGAAAACTTATTTTGATGATACTTGGTGGCATTAATTTTAAAACAATTTTTCTTGAAAAGTTTAAAAAAGGATTGCAATGATTACAGCCCTTTTTGTGAATACTATGTTATAATATTAAAGAATCTAGTGTAATGAAGGCTACAGTATGATTCATTTAACTTCTAACACTATTGTTATGATAATACCGAGGTGTATAATATAAAAAGGAGTACTGATGTATCAAACAGAATTCTATACATTTTATAAACATACCACTTTCAGATCTTTTAGTCGTGATTGGCGATTCCCCCTGGAACTATCTGGATTTTGGGAGTTAGAATCCATATCTTCAAGCTTTGTGGGAGTAGTTAAACCCATACTAGATTCTGAATGAATATCCAACCTGGAATCCATGCTGTAGCTCTCTGACATGACATCTTCTTTATCAGAACCAATGTTTTTTTCAGGCTCATTCTCTCTGATGAGAGTAGCATATAAGTATAAAAAAATATATAGTAAATTTTTCTTACTCAACGAAAAAGTATACTACTGGAGTTTTGAGAGAATCATTTAAAGTTTAACAACACGATCCTTCATATATTTGTAAGTAACTAATATTTTACCAACAAAAAAATATCAAACAGGATATTTATTGGACCAATGGAGCTAGAAACAATGTTATATTTGCTTTCTATAAAACTTAGTAATTATACATTTTCTTTTCATAACAGTCAAATAACATTTTTCAGAAACAGATGATGATTAGAATAATTTTTTGCTTTGTTTTTGTATAACACGCTACTTAACTTTCTATCCAATTCCAAGCACTATTTCATTCACATGGCCAGTAAAGTATAACTTAAAGCTCATAAAATTAAGTAATAAACAACCAAGGTAAACTAAAATGTCGATCTCTTAAAATTGAAGTCAGTCTAGTCAATGAATCCCTTACTAGGCCTTATAACAAAAGATGAAGAGTAAAACGAAGATTTCAAGGTTTAATGAATCCTTACTAGGCCTCATAAGAAAAGATGAAAAGTAAAACGAAGATTTCAAGGTTTACCAATGTACATTGTACGAAACAAACTTCAAATTCATTCAGCATTTTAATAAAATTAGTGGTATCACTTTAAAACACATTTAATCACTCTCAAAGTATTTTTTTTATTTAATAACAAGTAAATTAAACCCCAAATATTGTATTAACCTTAATTTTAAAGACAGTCTTATAGTACTATTTCATAACAAACATAACAGTTGACCCAGTTAGATTCAGGAACTAAGGCAATGGCCACTGGAAATCATACTTAAACATACCTAATGTTTCAAAGATAGTATTGGAATAATACTATCAACCATCTTTAATTAAGAATACAGCAGTTAGTAATTATCTGACATAAAAAATTCCACGATATTCCTACGTGTAATTGCTACTGGATTATATTACATTAAAATAAGCAACATGAAAAAATAGTTTCTCCAATTACTATCATTCTAATCATATAATCAAATAACTTCAATTGCTAATATCAAAAATCTCATAAATGTCATGTTTGAGCAACAATTGTTCACTATGTTCAAAAACAACATTCACTCTCACAGTAATGCATAGGTTTTTTACTAACATAAAATCATCTCAATATGTGATTCCATACCAAAACATTATAACAATATCAAACAGTTAGTCAAAAGTCACTGGATACTATCCTTACAATGATGTTACTGGACACCATCCTTACTATAATGTTACTGGACACCATCCTTACTATAATGTTACTGGACACCATCCCTACTATAATGTTACTGGACAACATTCCTACTATAATGTTACTGGACACCATCCCTACTATAATGTTATTGGACAACATTCCTACTATAATGTTACTGGACACCCTTCCTACTATAATGTTATTGGACACCATCCCTACTATAACATTATTGGACACCACCATACTATTATGTTATTGGACACCACCATACTATTATGTTATTGGACACCACCATACTATTATGTTATTGGACACCATCCCTACTATTATGTTACTGGACAACATCCCTACTATTGGTTTATTGGACAACATTCCTACTATAATGTTACTGGACACCATCCATACTATAATGTTATTGGACACCATCCATACTATAATGTTACTGGACACCATCCCTATACTATAATGTTACTGGACAACATCCCTACTATTGTGTTATTGGACACCATCCATACTATAATGCTTATCTATACATTAAAGAAACTAGTTTTCATAGTAAGAGCCCTTAAATATTTTGAGAACTTATTGTCACTGAATCATAAAGGAAAGTTTAACTTTTGTGCTAAGCTAAAAACACACATATATAAAAGTTTTCCAAGATGTTTAACATTCAGTTCATTCTCTCACTGGAAGTCACTTTTAATTTCCCATCCAGCTATAATTCATGACTGATGAAAAATGTAAAACCAATAGGTTTAAATACAAGTTACCTTCCATACATACAAAAATTAAAAAACTCAGCTATTTTCTCCACACTGTAAATAACTGCTGTGTGACAAATATGGAAGTGCATTCACTGGTGTCACTTCTTGTTATTATCAACTGATGTGAAACCAAACAAAGTTGTTCATAAAAAAACAAAAGATTTCTTGAAAAAAAAAAACGAGAGAGAGAGAGAGTGGGGGAATATTAACATATTGCTAAGGATTGAAGTTCAACAAACTTTAATATTCAAAGAAAAAGTCCAGTTGAAACATTTGATGATTGGGAAATAATATCCATATTAGATAAACAAACAAGAAAAAACTCCAACACCTACTGTTCAGAGTCTGAAGAACTATTTGATTCAGATTCACTACCAGACTGTGAACTAGATCCTGAGGACTGGCTTGAATCCGAAGAATCACTGTCAGACATTGGGTCTGATTTATGCTCAGAGCCACCTTCTGATCTGATTTCTTCAGTTCTGGCAACATCTTTCATAACACTATCTTCTACCTGTGAAAAAAAAGTTTCTGTATAATCTTTCCTTCAATAAAAACCAGTAAGTTGTTGTTATAAGCTCTTTATATATATATATATATATTGCATAGTGAAGTTAAATGGTCCCCCGTAAATTTTCCAATGTCATAAAAAATTCCTATTTTTACATTTAAAGCATAAAAAAAACATCCAAATTTCTTGTGCTGAATATCTATCTATCTATATACACACACATATATATATATATAGGTGATTAGAAAAATTTGTTTCCCTAATGTGAATTGCAACAGTAAAACATACAATTTGAAGTTATGCAAGTTAAAATATAATCATAGTTCTAAAGCATACTTAAAATGTTGATTTCTGATGCTACAAGAATTACAGTGTTTACTTTCCCTAGCCTTCTGTTCAATTAGAAAAACATTCATTATGATATAATTTCCTGAAAGCAGGATAGTAATGTTAACATGTAACTTTACATGAAATTATGATGAACTTATAATGAAGACTATGCTAATTATACTAATCATAAATAAAGCATGTAAGATAAATATATTAATGAAAACATTTAGGTACAACTAACTGACTAGAATCCTTAATGCAATAGATTATTAGTACAGAAAACTAAAAGCTGTGATGATTCAAGTGCACTGAATCATTTGGATATTTTACCAATAAAATATTTTAAGTTATAATTATGAGGATATGTCATGAGGTTTGATACACTAAGCCACCAATAAGAAAAAACCTTCATTAACACAACTATGATCAAAAACATTATTATAAATATAACAGTCAATAAGATTTAATAAAACTAACTACATGTAAAACAAAAACTTGAAGAGCTTATTACTCCCAAAGTACATAATTATGCTAGTTGTTTGATGTAGATTTGCTTGCCCAATATGATGGCGGGGCCAACCATGTGCTAAAAGCACAATGAGTAGTAGCTATTCAACATAATTGTGGGATTTAAACTACCACAGTATCAGCAGAAAGCTTTAGTTTGCCTACAGTTACATACAAATATAGTAATATTTTTTATTAGATTTTTCCCATTTGATATTTTCATATATTTCTTTAAAGGGTTGTCTTTGTTAGCATTTTGCAAGTCTTAATATTATTAGGCATCACCAAACACCCATGCAGTCACAGTTTAAGCTTCACATAATACAACATTTTGAAGAACTAAAAGAGGCCTCTTGGATCATTGGACACCCACATCTGCCTGTATCCAGCATGATCCCCCAGTTACTCATCAAACCCTCTCTGAACTCTCCCAATCCTGTTGTGTCTAGTGCAGCTGAAGGTAATCTATACCACCCTGTTCAAAAAATAAAATTGCCTCAGCATCATTTACAGACAACTTCTACTCTATAAAATCTTTAATTTACATCCAATAATCCTACCATTAAACATGGAAAAAGATGATGAATTAACCCTGTATATGTCCTTTATAATTCTGAGCACCTCACTCAGATCCCCTCTAATCCTTCTTTTGTCAAGGGAAAATAATTTTCAGGACTATAACCTGTCTTCATATGACAGTCTCTCCATCTCAAGAATCATCCTCAATGTCCTAAAAGTCAGTAGCACAATATCCTAAATGAGGCCAAACTACAGATCTGTAGAGAGAAATGATAACCTCCCTTGACTTATACTTAATATTGACAAAGATACAACCCAAAATCTTATGTGCTTTCCCACTGGCAACAACTCCAACAACACTGCCCTGGATGGCTCATCTACCAAACATACAAATTGTAATAAGAAATTTGTTATACTTTGTTAAACCAGGTACTCAGTACAACTGATCATTAAAATAAGTTATGCCTTGTTTAGGGTTTGTGGAACAATTTATGAAATATTCATATTATTTAATATATATTCATTACAAAATAATATAGAAGGTATTTTTAAATTAAAATTTTATGCAATTTCTATCCAAACTTAATGCACATTATTACAGGCCAAGCACGGGCATCCACAGAATGATAAAAACCATAGTTCTAGGCTTTTCTTTACATATAGATGCTTGATACATTAAGGATGA